TCTCAGACAAATCTTGGGAGTGGTGGGAAAGGATTCTCAGGACGGGGTGAGTGGCTATGGCTCCCAGCCTGGCCCCAGGAATAACACTTTTCCTCCCAAGAATCCCTGGCTGAGGTAGGGCATTGAGGACAGGGCCTGTCCACCTGAGTCCTAGCCCCAGGGCTGGCCCCCAGGGTTCAGACCCCCCAAACCCCATGGCCCAAAGTGGAGACACAGCTCTATAGACAGGAGTCCACATGAAGCCTTCCACTGAGCCATTGCTGGTCCCAGGGGAGCCAGGACAGCAAGGGAAAGGGATCAGTCATGGCCAAACCTCCACCCCCAAGCCCAGGCCAAGCTGGCACCTAGCTGAGCACGTCCCTAGCACTGCTGCCTCCAGTCCTCACTCCAGCTCTGGGAGGAGGGCTTGTCAGTCCCATTGTGCAGATGAGGAAACTAAGGCTCAGAAGTCCAGAGCCTTCTGACAGAGGAACTGCCTTTGGCCTAAGCATGGCAAGTACATCATAGGGCAGTGCCAACCACCTTGGTCTGAAGAGCTGCCAGGGTGGGCAAGGCAACCAAGGCCCAGAGGGGACGGTGGAGGGTCCCACTTGAGTGGTCAGAAGCAGTCTCTCTGAGGAGGTGACATCTGGATAAGGCCAAAGTGAGGAATGAGAAGGCGGCAGCTATGTGAAGAGCTAGAGAGGAGAACGGGAAGCCGTGGGACCCAGTGCAAAGGTGGAGAGATGAGAGAGAACCTGATGGCTGCAATAGCTGCTTTTTAGGGAGAGAGAAAGAGTCTGGTGCAGGCAAGGAGGGGAGGTTAGCAGGGGCTGGCCACCTGGGCACCCAGGCTGTGGTGAGTGGCTTGGATTTTACCCCAAGAGCAATGGGAGCCTTTACAGGGTTTAGTTTGGAGAGAGACAGGATCTGACTTATGTTTGGCTGTGCTGTGGAGCCTGGATTGGAGGTTAGGGTAGGGGTTAGGGTGGGGGACCCAAGTGGGGCAGAGGGACCAGGAGAAGGCTGTTCCTGCCCACTAGGGGAGGGATGGTGATGGCTTGGGCCGGAGGACGGCGACTAAAGTAAAGAAGTGGAAGATTTGGGATGTTTGGAGGGGAGCTCAGATGCCTGCCAGTCCCCTCTTTATCTGTCACACAGCTCTACTCCTTCAGGAAGCTGCTCAGCAGACCCTCTGCCACAGCCCAAGTCGGGGACAGTTCTGCCCAGGACACCCTCAGCAGGGCCTTTTGTGACAGGACTCCTCTGGCCAGGAATCCAGGTCTATTCATCTGTCTCCTCTGCTCAGCTACACACTCCCAGAGGCAGAGGCTGGTTTTGATCCGTCCATTGCCCAGGCTGGTGCCAGACTCCCTCCTAACAGGCTTCACTCCAACCACAGGGCTGGTGACCAACCATCACTCACCCTCCCCAGCAAGGCCCTGCTGCTTGCTCTTGGAGGGGTGTGGAGGGCTGGGTGGGTGCATCTCTGCAGAGCTCCCCCGGACAGGCTGGCCATGCGTCAGCAGCACTTCCTTCCTTTGCTCAAGTCTTGCTCGTACCCTCACCTCCTGCTCCCCCAAGGGCTCACTTGCATGGCCCTCACTTGGACCTCAGAATTTGGAATCAGGGACTGTGAGCCCGATGGCCAGGAACACAGAGATGAGTCCACTGCTTCAAGTGGCTCCTCCATACCAGAGCCCCTGGAACACGCCCAGACACCAGGACAGCAGTGGCGGTCAGGCATAGGGAAACAGCCCCCAGTAACTGTAAGAGCCAAAAGGCTCAACTCAGCTCTTTTTTAAAAAATTGACATGTAATTCACATAACACAAAATTCACCATTTTAAAATATACAATTCAGCAGCTTTTAGTATATTCACAAGGTTGTACAACCATCACCACTAATTCCAGAACATATTCATGACCCCAAAAAGAAACCCCACGCCCATTAGCAGTTACTTCCCTTTCTCCTCTTCTCTCAGCCTCTGACAGCCACAAATCTACTTTCTGTCTCTATGAATTGGCCTATTCTGAGCATCATCTAAATGGCAAAAGGCTCAGCAGCCTTCCAGGCCACAGGCTCCAAGCGGAGCCCATAGAAGGGGCCAGAAGCGCGACATCGCCTCATAACCTTTTCGAGATGAGGATGTGCACCAGACTGTCAGTTCAAGATTCTGAGTTTCTCTAAAGAGATGCTGTACTCATCCCAGAATCCCCTCAAAGCCTAGCCCAGGACCAGCCCACAGCCTGTCCCCTGTTTCAATCTTAGAGCACAGCAAGCACAAAACAAGCAGTGGCCACTGGTCTAGGCCAGTAACTATGCAAGCCTACATGAGATGCCAGAGAAACATTAGCCATGAAATAAACTTTAACCTAATTTCCCCTTTCTAAAACAGAGTTTGCAAGAAGCCAGGTACCAAAAAGCAGCAACCTTTTTGGGCAAAATCTCCCTCTGCCTCCTGGCAGTTGGCTGTGAGGTGGTCATTCGCCCTGTTGCTCCTGGCCAAGGTTCGAATCTGCCTGCTTTGAGGCCTCCAACGTGGTAGCCACATGGACATTCAACCCACAAGTGGATAGAGGGGTTCCTGGCATGGGTTCTCCCCACTGTCTGGGGAGGTCAAGTGATTTGAGCAGTTACATTCTCTCAGAGAGGGCAAAAAGCAAAGGCAGGGTTGGGGGTAGCTAGTTCTAAGGCCCATGGACAGTGGCTGGACAGCGTGTCATCTGTTCCCTGAAGATGCGCTGGGGAAAGCACAGTTTTGGAAAAAACTTCCAAAGGTGGTTTTTCGTCAGGGCCCCTGCAAGGAGTTCCGGACCCCCATGAGAGTTTTCTTCATTCCAGATACTTGAACCCTAAATCACATGATAAATATGCTTCAAAAACATGGGGTCAATTAATTTTGCTTTTTGAAACTCAACCATATTTTAAATGTTCACACAACTCTTCGAGTAACACAAGCAACTAAGACTCTTACTTGCTACTCATTTGTAGCTATCAGATTTGCTTAAGAGGGTTCCCTACATTCATATACACCTTCCTCACCCAGCATCTCCCCAACTTAGGCCCCCGCCTCCGTCCTTCTCCCCAGGCCCATGGAGCAGCTGATGCCAGGGCACAGAAAGTCAGCTCCAAAACCTGATGTCCCCCTGTGTTCCCAGAAGACAGGCAGTGGGAGGCTACAGCGGGGTGGGGAGAAGGACAAAGGGATTTGTCCCTATAAGAAAGGGTGTAACACACAAATGCATCTGCTGTAGCTTCAGAAAGATTCCAAAGTTGAACAAAATAAATGATTCAGACCAGGGACATGGTGGTGTGCCTACCTCAGCCCTCACTTCTGACTGCTGGAGGCAGCCCTCCATCTGCCTAAACTTTGACCAGTGTAACCTAAAGGACACTGAATGGTCCCATCACCACACCCTTACGGAGAACCAGGCGCTGCCACTCTGGGCACTCTCCTACCACTTGCCCATGCTGTCTTTTCCCTGTGCCTCTGTGGACTCACAAGAGGCTGGAGGGAACCTGCCTTGCTAGGGCTGTTTTGAGGCCTAGGCCTTTGGTCTAGTCATGGTTATCACAGTGACCCCAGCCCCCTGTCTAAACAACTCATCTGCTGTTGGTTGGGCAGTGGTGGGTTATGTCCCACCACTTGGCCTCGAATCTAAGGCTTTACATCTTGTAGGGGGCCCTGAAAACATCTTTGTTAAGTATCAGCTCATGCTCTGTAGAGACTTCTGGGGAGAGCTGCTATGTCAGGTGGCAGGGTCAGAAGACAAGCCCTTTCCCCTACAGAAGTGGAAAGAAGTACCCCATGATGGAGCCACCCCAGAGCAGAAAGCCAGACTGAACCCTCAACTAACATGTTCCTTTACAGATGGAGGAACAGGAGTCCAAAGGACAAAGAGCTCATTTTAGTCAGCTGTCTGCCAGGTTTTCCATCCTGGGTTTCTGGAGGGAAGACATGATCCATTTTCTCATGTCCCACCAGCTTCAGCATGAAACAGCCTTCAGAACCAACGCTCCTCACTCCTGATCTGAAACAGCTGGGCAGTCACTCTTCGCCCTCTGGGTGACCCCCACCACTAGCTGTGTGAGCCTCCCACTGCTGGCCCCACCTGCACCAGGCCTACATTTGCTCCCAACACCCGCCCACCAGAGTCCCCAAACCTTTCATGTACTCTTGAAGCTCTAATCTCACCCGTTTGGGCCAACTGAACACGGTCTGAAACACTAATTTGAATTTTTTGTAAGCACAGCTTTACTGCTCTAAGCACTCAGAATAGGCTCTTCACCCTTTAGGTCATCTGCACCAAGGGGCGGAAAAGCACGGTTTCTAATGATCACGGAGTCTTTTCAAAGCACGCGGTACTTAAACATATTTAATTTGCAAATTCATTAAACAGGCCTCTTACTGACACTACTGACTTGAAACACCTCTGCAAACCCGTCCTGGTGCATCTGAAACTAAGCCAGCTTCATAAAAACCTACTTTCCACACATTGCGTTTGGGCTCTTTCTCTAGCAAGGGCGCATTCATGCTAATAAGGACAGACGGAGTACAGCATGCTCCTCCTGTACCACCAGACCTGAAGCAGACCAGCTTTTCTGCCCATTCCTCCAAACACTGAGGCTTGGGACTTAGTGGGAGAATGCTAACAGCAAAGCTCACAGCTCCAACCGTACTGCATCCACCACCCTCAGAAGGGGTGGGTGGTCTCAGCTTAAAAGTTCTCCAAGAAAACTCCACCCCAGCATCACCCAGCACCACAACAGGGCGCACACCTGCTTGTGAGCAAGCTGAGGAGATATAAGCCAACAGCTGGTGTAAAGGAGGGTGCCCAGGGCAGCCCTCCTCCCTTCAGGAAAGTTCTCCTTCTGGTTCAGATCCCACTAGAAGTGTTTGAGAAAAGAGAACAGAGTTGTCCTGTACCTATTTTGTTCTAGGCAGAGGTCACTTCTTGTCCATACCCGATCAAGGAGGCAGCAGGCACAAAGCGGGCTGGGCTGCTGGGGCCACTTACCAGCGGTGGCTGCGGCTGGGGATGTTGCCCTGCTCCCGAGGGGGGTGGGTAATGCATGAGCAGATTGAAGGCGGAGTAGACGGTGTCTTTGTACATGCCGCTGGAGCACTCCGGAGCCTTCAGGCCTGGAAAAACCACAGCTGGTCAGACGCGCCAGCCGGGGTCGTTCTCTCTCTCTCTCTCTCTCTCTCTCTCAAAAATCAGAATTGCCAACGGATCCCCTTCAACTTTGTGACTTGAAGGGCTGGGGCCGCCCGCAGTGCCAAGTTTGGACGAAAGACCTCGAGTTCAGGCCTTCCTTTCTCGACCTCCACGCCACGCTCTGGCCAAGGAACCTTGGCCAACGCTTGCTCCTCAATACAGGGGATTAGTCAGTCACCTGGGCAGGAGGGGAGGCGGAGATGGCAGGGGTCTGTTTACTCCTATAAAGGTCAGGGCACCGGAAGTGACTCGAGCCTGGCGGCGCCCGGGAAACCCGCCCCCCACTCCCCCACCCCCTCGGCTTTACCGCCTCCTTGAGCTGCAGTTGAGGGGAGGCAGCCCCTCGGCTCCCTTCCGTCCTCGGGGGCCCCGCTCTCTCACCCAGGCCAGGCTGTGCATAAACTCACCATCTTCCAGAGACTCCGTAAGTTTGTCGGGGAAAAGTCTCTGAGAAGTGTGTTCCCGTCCCAGAGCCTGCGGAGAGATCCAGAGGGGCCTTGAGGGGGTTGGGGAAGCTGGGGGCTCGGGCCCCGGGCCCGCGACAGGAGGGGTCTGAGGGATAGGGACCCCCCAAGGACCGGGGAAGGGAGGGGAGGGAAGGGCGAGCGGCGCGTCGGGGTTGGCGGAGCGCCGCAGCTGCCGGGCAGCAGCAGGGCGCGGGCCAGCGCTC